GTGAGCTGCTCCCTTCCCCCAGTGGTAGAACAGGGAGGAGAGCTCTGGGTGCAGGGAGGGGACCTCAGCTGGGATCCTCCTGGTGTGGGGAGGGGGCCCAGCCTGGACTCGGTGGGGAGCTTAGGAAGTCTGGCTAAGCAGGCGCTGGTTCATACCAACTCTTACTCTGCCACCTTCTTCCAGCTCTTCAAGCTAGCCCCCCTGCCCCACCTGTCCAGGGGAAAGGGCTCTGGGTGACCTCCCTGAGCTCAGGCTGTGGACCCAGAGACCTCAAGGCAGAGTGCAGAGGCCAGTGCAGAACTACCAGGGCAGAGTTGTTTCGGTGTCTCAGTGAAGCTTGCAACTGACCTAAGGAGGAAACCCGAGAGGGGAAAGGCCGGGAGGCATGAATTGCCAGCACTTTAGCCACTTGAAAACAGCTCCACTTGGAATGTGAGGCAGTTGTATGTTCAGCTGAGAAGTGAGGAAGCTGAACTCCACCATCGCTGGGCTCCTGTCAGTCTGAGGCCCAAGCGTCCGCCATGACAAGGAAAGAACAGAGGGGAGGACAATTGAAGAAAACCGTGTCTAGACTTTCCCCAGCCCTCTCCTTCTTTCTGCTGCCTACAAGAGCCCCAGGCCCGGCCACAGTTCTGTCTCCACCTTTTAGTCCCCTATTCTCCAACCACAGAGGAAAGAAATAAGGAAGGAATCTGTGCTGCCTTCAGAAAGTATCTATATACCTGATCGGCCAGTTGCCTTCCACAAAGGGAGGCCAGACTGCGGCTTAGGCCCGCTCCCCACAGGGACATCAGTAGGACATCCTGTGAGGGCTCCCAGACTGTTAGAGGGGGCAGGCTGGGCTGAGGGATGCTCTCTGAGTGCACAAATTTTTGTGCACTGGGCCTCTAGTCATATAATATTTGTCCTTTTGTGCTTACCTTACTTATGAGGAAGGGGTCTTGGGTGTTTTATTCACTGCTCTATCAGTTGAGACCTAACTCAGTACATATAGGGTGGGGCCAAAGTAGGTTTATAGTTGTTCATATGGAAAATAATACAATAATTAATAAATAACAACACAAGAGTAAAGCCTGTGTTTCGTGTACTCACAACTGCAAATCTACTTTTACCGCACCCTATATTGAGCACACGACACGGATGCTTAACAAATATGTGTTGAATCAACCAATTCATCAATTTTAAGCAAGTCACAACTTTTCTGAAACTCAGTTTCTTAGCCGTGTGATGGTGCTACCTCACAATTCATTCATTTATTAAAATATCTTTTGAGAATCTGTAGTGTTTCAAGCATTGTGCTTACTCATGAAAATCTCATAACGTGCAAAATGGGCATTCAGTGTCTTCTATTTGGGAAAGTCACCGTTTTGGTTTTGTGCAGGCTTAGGATGAAAACATAAAAAACAATGACGTATACGTCGGATTATGTGATACTGCACTGGAGCGACGGATGTCAAAAGCCATTCTGTTTTCAAATTCATTTACTATTAGCTGTTCTTTTCACTTTGTAGGGTGATAACAAGGTCACATGAATATATATGTATGTGTATCATAAACTACAAAGCTCTCCATAAATGTAAGATAAAAGTATTGTAATTTTTTGATTTACTACTTTTTATGCTTTGGGAACTAAATGCTATCCACAAATTCTAATATACTTATAAAAACTTACTGACAATTGAGGCAGGACCTGGCTTTTTAAGTCAGTGTTGATTACACTGCACCTGAATTTTGCCAGGCCCATTCATATAGTGTTAAATGCTGACCAACAAAGAGTGCTATTTCCGGACAAAGGGCTGACACTTGAAAAATATTAGCAAATGGTGCTAAAAACGAGCCATTTTGCTTTCTGCACTTGCAACACCATGCCAGCACACACACCTTCAGACAGCAATGACAGGAAGAGGGCAAGCAGGCCTCACTAATCCTCTCAGCTCTTCAAACAACACTTTAGGATTTCTACTTGAAGGCCTGTCTTTCTAAGCTTGTGCTTTCAAAACTTGGGCTGGACTGACCCCAAATACTGAAGTAACAAATATTACTAAATTCTGTCATTTCCTCTACCAAAAAAGTGATTTTACTACTACTTCTGGTTGTGATGAAAGGTCCTATTGACTATTCATTCAAATCCTTAACCGGGCTATGGATTCGGTATTAAATGACTTCACTACTTCTTCTCTGGCACTTTAACACATGCCAGTGCTTTCATCCGCCTCCACTAACATGGCTTACAGATTACTGAGGAGGGGCCATTTTAATAGTATGATTTGTTCACATCTCTAGAGATGGGGTATAAATGAGACTGGCTCAAAAGACAAACTCCCCTTTGACAACATGTATTGGGATATATGTATAGAAATAAAAGTTAGAAATACCTTACTGATATACTACCCGGCTAGAAGCCGTGATAATTAATGGTTCTTTGATTTGCTATAATTTGAAATGTAATGAAGTGATGGTAGAAAGGCTAAAGACAGAATGAAACATTCTCAAGAAATAGTAAGTTGAAGAAAAGAGATGAAGCAAAGAAAAGTTAAAGGTCATAAATGTGCTAAAAGTTTTTTTCTAAATGCTAAGAAAGGGGCTTCCTGAATGAACTCTGAAACCTAAGGAAGTCTGTTTATAAGAAGTTTATTGTTCTCTCCTTTTAAAACTGCCACAATAGCTATAAAAAAAACCACAGTGGTTAACCTATGAATCTTAAACAAAAACACAAGTGTAACCTCTCATTTTCAAAAAGAGTATAAAGTTACAGATGATACAAAATTACTAGAAGTAATCCATTTTTTAAACAGATGAATAAAATTGGCTCAACATACTTGTGGCCTTGGTTCAGTTAAGAATAAAGTCAGAGGCTACTTGGGAAGTGCTCCCAAGTGCGGACCAAACAGACACTAAGAGTCTGATGCGGAGGGCTGACTTCACCCAATTTTCCATGCACACAATCGGCCTCCATCTGTGTCCTGTTTTCAAAACAAGCTGGGCTATGCTTAGAACTTCTTTATACCAACTCTTGGCATTCCTATTGGGTCCTAAGAAGAAAGAACTAAGTGTGTGCATGTATGCATGAATGCGTGTGTGCGCGCGTGTGTGTGTGTGTGTGTGTGTGTGTGTGTGAGAGAGAGAGAGAGAAGAGAAAGAGAGAGAGAGAGAGGGGCTGGGATTTATGAGGAAATCCAGGCATTTTGGCCCTAGCTTTAATTAGGAGTGGGTTTCACCTGGAATCTTCCAACAGCCTTCTAACCGAGGGCCTAGGTCAGTGATGGGGAACCTTTTGAGCTAGGCGTGTCAGCATTTTGAAAAACCCTAACTTAACTCTGGTGCTGTGTCACATATAGAAATTTTTCGATATTTGCAACCATAGTAAAACAAAGATTTATATTTTTGATATTTATTTTATATATTTAAATGCCATTTAACAAAGAAAAATCAACCAAAAAAATGAGTTCGCGTGTCACCTCTGACACGCGTGTCATAGGTTCGCCATCACTGGCCTAGGTACTTAGAGCAAGATAAAGAAAATAGGGTAAGAGAAGAACCTCTGAACTCAATCAGAACTCAGTTCTACTCAATGAGGCCAACGTTACTGATATCCTGACTGCCGGACTCTGGGCCCCAGTATCCAGGTCCCCTAATTTACTTAGACCTCTTCTTCCTTAATGCACCCTTAGTCTGGTCAGTTCTTGACCAGTTCTGTCTCAGCACTGCCTTTTTCATAGTATGACAACTGTGATCAGTAGTATGAGTTTAGCAGCCTTGAAATGAAAGTCCTGTTTCTTAGACTGAGATACTTTTCTGCCAAAAAGGACGGAAAGCAGCAGTTGTGGGAAGAAGGGCACATGGAAAGATGAGTCACAGGCCAGAGACTGCGAGCAAGGCTGCCTGCCTGGAGTGTAGAACATGAGCTGGAGTGGTAGTAACAATAAAAGCAGTGTGACTGAGGGCGATGAGTGTGAGGTTTTAAAGCAAGTGATTAATTGAGGACCTCAAACTAGAAATTTTATCCAATGGTAGAAAAGGATAAGAATCTTAATAAAAAACAAAGTAGATAATAAATATTAAACTGAGATTGAATGAGGTGAAAAAAGGCAAAGATGACACCATATGAAGGAATAATTTTAGATCTGCCAGGAATCACTAAGGGAATTGTTTGGTGAATCTTTAGATACACATAGATAAAAGGCAATTTTGGTTCACATAAATAAAAAAATCATGAACCTTATTGTTGCTATTAAATGGAGAGATCTGAGGATACAGTTTATAATTTCTTTCAATAACAGCCAAACCCTGGATACTCACCCATGTTCTCTTCCAATTGGAAGGTATGTCCAAATAAAAACAGAGCACTGACGCTGACCTCCTGTACAGCCAGGACATTTATGGAAGTCTACCTCTTGAAGTAGAGCCACGTATGCTACAGAAACGTTGCATGGAAAACGCAAACCCAAGCAAGCATGCTCGTCTCTCAGGGCATGTGAAAGACATTATTTAGATGAGATGGTAACTGGTGTGGTGTCCAGAGAACCACAAAAACAAGACAGGTTGGAAGGACCATGTGCTTGGTCTTTTCTCTCTGGCCTTGGATACTAAGGTGAGGAGACCACGAAGGACTTGCCAAAGCCACTAAATTTTACTCCATCAACAATTCCCAATGCAAAGTGAGTCCCTAGAAGTGGTCTAAGAGAAGGAAGCTATTACTGGTCAGCTGCAGAGGAAAGGGGTTGTAAAGTCCACATTCAAGTACAGTCTACTAGCAGTAACAACCCAGTAATGGGCTCCTGAGTTTAGCAGGAGGATTCCAATTCGTACCCATTGCTTCACGGTAGTATTTATAATGGCACAGAATAAGGCTGTCGCCAAAAATGAATTTTGCATGATTACTGTACCTGGTTAAATAAAACAGTCAACTGTAGTGCTTATTTATAAACAAAGAGGGTTTACAATCCAAAGAAGCAGGGTGTATGCAGAAAGTAGGAAAGGAGTGAAGAGGAATTACTTACCTGTGCTATATTTTTGTTCAGAAGATAGACACCATAATCAAATTGCAGTTTCTCCCCTCCTTTGGGGTATAATGGAAACCTAGAAAAGGTAAAGCGGGGTCAGAAGTTTTCAAAAACTTGAGTAAAACAACCTCAAGGTTGTTGATGAAGGTGGGAATTTCTTGGATACAGCATAAACATCTAAATACTTGGACTAAATCATTTAGTTATAGCCTTTGCAACCTATTATCTTAATATCTTCATTAAATTAGTCAAATCAGAACAATGGCTGCTTTGTTTCAAAGAAAAAACTGAATAGGCCATGCAACAGGGGACTAATATATTAGAAAGTGGCTTACTAACCCCAAGGAGTTGAGGCCACTATGTTCCATATTTACATATCAAACCTTATCACCCTAAGAATAAGACCCTAGGAAATTTTCCTCTAATACCTTGGACCCAACACCTCAACTACTAAATGAAAAAGAAAAATTAAGAAAAAAAATCAGATGTAAAAGCAATCTATACAATTTGTTTCATTTAAGATAGCCAGTCAAATCAACAGTATCAATATGAGTGAGAATACATTAAAAATTCATTCATATTCACAGGGGTGGCTATTTGCATGTTATGTCTCCAAGGCAAATTACTCATGCCATAGAGTTCTCCTAAGACTTTCCATTTTAATCTGACTCACAGAAGCAACAAAGGCATTAGATCTGTGGATCTTTATAAATAAAGATAATGAGTTATTTTAGGGAATAAGTTTCCCTCACTATTTCCCTTTTCCTACTCCTGCAAATGAAGAAGAAAAGGGTTCAGTTTACCTACTTAGTCATATTTTCCTGATTCTCAAGACCAAGCCTACGTTTTATCCTCTCGAATAGATTTCACTACAAACAGATCATTCACAACATCGATAGGGTCAAGAAGAAAACGCCACCTTATTTAGTTTTGCAATTTATAATTATTCTCAAGAATAAAATTATCTTACTGAAATGAATGGCAGGTGACAATTACTGGATTCTGAATTTCAACTGCCTGAGGAAAAGGTATATCCCATAAAGCCTGGGGGATAATTTTTTCTAGGGAAAATAGAAGGAAACCAAATTTAAAAGCTTTATATTAAATTCTCGAAAGTTGCTGATTACATAGTGTCCAAAAGGTAAATCTGTTGTACTGTAAATGCACAGGCACTGGAGAGTGAGCAAGATCATGAACTGTTTTTGTTCCGCACTAAAGGAACACCAAATGCTTTGCACACCCCTCAGGAAGATAATAGGTTTGTACTTAACGGAAGTAGTAATACATAAACTATGAAATGTGCTTTGGTTGACATGCATAAAATGACAGCAAAGCAAATTCCGGATAAGCAAAGTGCAACGCCAGGCTTTCACAGGGTGAAAGAATCATTACATTTGTGTTGGGCAGTTGCAGAGAAACTAGCCAATCGGAGGAACTAACAGCACAGGAACACTTTGGAAGAAATCTACTAGAGCCCTAAAGCTGTGCACTATGTAGTTGGTATTCTTTCTAGAAACCATCACACACAGACTATCTGCATAGCTGTCCAAATGCACAGATATCTCCACTTTCAAATTATAAATACAGAAAGTGTTTCAAATGTCAAAAAAGAGTACATCAAGATAGGCATGCATTGAAAACAAAGCCTCTACATTCCTGAAAAAACAGATTTCACTACACTGGCTTTGTTACTTCATTGGAACTTCTTTATAGGAAGAACCACAAGGTGTAGATATAACATTAAAACAGATCTAAAGAGTGACTAGAGCCAAAAGTTCCAATAGGGCAATTTTAAATTTTTATAATGCGCATTAAGACGACTTCTGCCCACAGTAGTAGAAAAAAGGTGACAATACATAGTCAATATGCTCTGAGGCTATGACTTCACTGCAAACTCAACACACTTTTCCTGTCCCCCTTAGTTTTCCACCACAACTTTTATCAGTTCCTCAGGCCCCGAGTGACATTCCATTTCACCCACCTTCTTTGCTTTTTACATGTGTGGTGATTCACCAAGTCAACAAATTATTTTTCCTGTGAAACAGGCTTATCTCTCCATTCCCACTGCCACTCCGGAAAATTCTTTGTTGTTCTGTGCCCAGTAGATGTTTAGCAGCATTCCTGTCCTCTACTCACTAAAAACCAGTGTTATTATTTAAGAATTTTTTTTTTTTTTGGCCACTTCTCAGCCCTGCTTCCTAATCAGTCAGTGTCTTACATTTTAACTTCTCGGCCTCACTTTCAAGGCCTAACTGATCCGACCTGTCTGCCTGATTTATCTGCAACCTCATTTGGCACCTGAACACACCAGGTTCATCTCCCTCTGCCTTCGCTCACTTCCTGGAAATGCCCATCTCTCTTTCCTTCCACCTGGCAGGGTAAAAGATACCAAGCTTCACTTCGTGTAAAGAAAAAGACTCGCACATTTTCTACTAAGTTGCATATCACTAAAGCTTTACCTAGAACTCATTGCAAGGTGATGATAATGCATGAAACCGTAAGGCAGGCCGGAGGCAGACAAGATGGGAAATGGCTGGAGCAGAGTGAGCCGGAAAAGGAAAAGGAGTAAGTCAGCAAGGTTGACGGGTCCAGACTGCGCAGGTCGTGTAGGTCACAGCAAGGACTTGGGCTTTTACTCGGAATGAAAGGGGAGGAGGCTCTGCAGGATTCTGAAAAGAGAAGGGACACGGACACTTTGGCTACTCTCTGAGAAAACATTACTGGGGAGCAATAAAGGAAACAGGGAGAGGCGACTACAAAAATCCAGGCAAGAGAAGAGAGAGGTTTAAACCAGGATGGCAGCATGGAGTGGTGAGAAGTGGCGGAATTCTCATATTTTGAAGATAAAACCAATGTGATTTGTTGACAGATCTCATATGAGGTCTGAGAGGTGGAGAAGTCAAAGATAACTCCAAAGTTTTTTGGCTTAAGCAACTGACACAATGGAGTTGTCATCTTAACTTGAATAAAAGTACAGGTGACATGAGAATGAATTGCTAGAGACTGGAGTGAGGAATATAGTATGAGGGCTCAGTGCTAAAGGATTAGGCTGGAGAGGTCAGCAGGGACCTGACTGTGCAAGTTCCTCTGCACCATGGACATCTATCTAGGATATAACCTTAGGACAATGTGAGGGTAATTAAAGATTTTTGTAAGCATGGAAGTGCCAGGATTGGGGTTTCTTAAAGACCACTTTTGCTACAGTGTCATACATAAAGGGGAACAAAACCTGGTTAGAAGGTTGCTTCAATGCTCTAGGCCAGAATAGTGATGGTTTTTATTATAATTCCAGCAATGAAGTGGAACATATATGAATAGATCTGAGCTATAATTTGTGGGTAGAAGTGACAGGGCTTTGAGATATATTGGTTCTGATAGTGGCAAAGAGGGAGGAGTCAAAGATGACGCTTTGGTTTCTCTATTGAGTGACTTCGCCAGTGATGGCGAACCTATGACACGTGTGTCAGAGGTGACACGCGCACTCATTTTTTTGTTTGATTTTTCTTTGTTAAATGGCATTTAAATATATAAAATAAATGTCAAAAATATAAGTCTTTGTTTTACTATGGTTGCAAATATCAAAAAATTTCTATATGTGACACGGCACCAGAGTTAAGTTAGGGTTTTTCAAAATGCTGACACGCCGAGCTCAAAAGGTTCGCCATCACTGGGCGAAGCATATCTTAGTGTCTATGAACTGAAATAGAGAACTCTGGGGGGAACAGCAGTTGTATATACTAAACATGTATATTATATATATTTACTATATAAAGTTTATTATATGTAAAGTTAGTAGAGGAATTTGGGGTAAAAGTATCAACTAAGGAACTGTAAAAATTTAGATGGAAGCTGAAGCCATAGGTATGAATGAAGTGGCCTAAAGAAGTCATAGAGAAGAGGGCTGTTTCAGAGCTTTGAGAATATCAACAAGGGACTGGGACATGTAAAGCCAGAAAGGGAATGGGCAGAAAGATTTGAGAGAAACCAAGTGTCTCACCAGAAAAGCTCAGAGAAAGTGTTAATTTAAGAAGGAAGATATCATCAGTAGTCAAATGTTGCTGACAGGTCAAGCCAAACAGACATGAAAACATGTCTATTGCCTGTAATTACATGAGTTCATTGGTAGGCAGCGTTGGTAATATGGTAAACACAAGTTTAAATGAAGTAGTGGGAGATGAAGGAAGACTGCAATGAGTTCAGGAGTGACTGGTAGTGAGGAAATGGAGATGGATGAGAAGTCTGGCTTAGAAAGGAGAGCTCAGTAACTGGAGGGACATGGTGAAGCACAGCAGAAAGAATGTCCTGAGAAGGTGAGCGGGGACTGGCTCTTCATCCTATAGGTGAGAGTGCAAGTGAAGGATCTGCCTTAGATGGTAGGTGGGACAACGCTCCTAATACAACACGAAGGATGAAAGAAAATGAGCAGTTTATTCATTCAACAAATTTTCACTATTGCTACATATGGTGGTAGGTGGTAGAGATATAATAAGGGTGGACAAACACAGATAATACAGCACAGTCTAGTAGAATAGACAGACATTGCTCATATAATCATACTAGCAAATGTATAATTTATAAATTAAGTACTCTCAGAGGGAAAGGAACACTATTCCAGAAAAGAGGTAGACAAGACTGAGAATCAAGGAAGACTTCTGAGAGAAAGTGACACCTTAGCTGAGATCTCAGAGACGGAAGGAATGTTCCCATGAAAGGAAGCAGCATATGTAAAGGCCCCATGGCAGGAGGAAGTCTGCTCCGTCAAGAAATCAAAAGAAGAACAGTATTGTTGGACTGAGGGGGCTTATGACAAGACATGAAGCTAACAGAAGAGTAGATTATGTAGGTTCTTCTGGACCATGTCAGTTCCTAAAAGAAAAGAAAAAAAGGAAGGACTTTAAACAAAGGTATAACGTGCTCAGATTTGCATCTGATACCTTCCTTCTTAAAGGAACCCCTTCTCTTTCAACTTTCCTGACAATGATAGATTTGCATTTTGAAAAAACTATGCTGATTACAGTGGAGAATGATTTAGAGAAGGTGAGACCAGCTTGTTGCAGTGATCTAGGTGAGAGATCA